CGGCGTTCGTGTGCAGGGGCCAGTGGCTCGGAGTTGCTGGCTGCCTGCTGAAATTCTGAACATCGCAGGATGCCTCCCAGACGCAAGGTGCCACCTTTTCCATAACTGTCCTTTTTTTTTTTTTTTTTTTTTTTTTCACTCTAAGCAAGAATCCCCTTTTCCTGCAATTTTAGATAATTTGAAACTTGAGGTCCCGCCCGTCCTTCCCCCTCAGCTCGAACCTAGAGCATCGCCTGCCCCGGGAGGCTCTGCGATGTGGCGCTAAATAGAGGGAGCGTTAATTAGCTGGTTATAGTGAAAAGAGTCTGGTTCGGTGGCGCGGCGGAAAGAGCCGACCGGTACCGGAGATGCCCGAATGGCGGATAGAATTGGTCGGCTGAAGCAGCCGAGCAGAGACGGAAAAACCCGAGCGGCGGAGCTTGACGGAAAGCCACCAAGGAGTGAGCACGCCCGGACCGCGAGCCCTGATTGGCCAATGGCCCCGGAGGGGCGGGGCGGGGCGTGCCCTGCCTCGGCGGCGCCGGAAGCGCAGGCTCAGACTCCGAGATGGCGGCGGTGGTGGCGGCGGCCGCTCCGTGCGGGCTCTGCAGCGCTCCGGCGGCCCCCTACACGTGCCCGCGCTGCCACCGCCGCCTCTGCTCCCTGCGCTGCTACCGCGCCCACGGCCCCTGCGCCGAGGCCTTTTACCGCGATCAGGTTCTTGAGGCGTTGCGCGCTGAGCGCAATTCTCCCCGGGGCCCCGCGCCTTCCGGGCTGCGCGATCTACGCGAGCCCGGGGATCCAGCGCGGCCTACACGTCGCGGGCTGTGGGAGCAGCTCAGCGAGGCGGAGCGCGACGGGTTCCGGCGGCTGCTGAGTTCCGGGGAGGCCGCGGCGCTGCTGCCGCAGTGGCGGCCGTGGTGGTGGCGCGGGCGGGGACGAGTGGAGGAGCTCGGGGACGGCTCGGGGGCCGTGGAGGAGGATGAGGAGAGCGGCGAAGGTCGGCCCGGCCCCGCGCCGCCCGTGCCGGCCTCGGTGCCCCCGCTGAGCGCCCTCCGCGCTGCTCCGCCGTCGCCCTTGGTGCGGTTCCAGCTGCCGAACGCGCTCTTCGGTTACGCCTTCGCGCTGAGCCTGCACGGCGGGGACGAGACGCTGCTCCCCGAGCTCGCCGACGCCGCCATCGCCGCCTCGGCCGCGCTCCGCGACCGCCGCCCCTTCGCCAGCACGGCCGAGGCGCTGCTGAGCGGCCGGGACGACGCCCGAGCCGCGGGGCTGCCCCTGAGCCCGCTCGGCGACAGCGGCACGCTCCTGGCCGTCGCGCAGCTGCTGGAGGGCCGCGATAGTCGCGACCCCGGCGCCGACGTGGCGGCGGCTTTGTGGCACCTGTGGCGGCTGCTGAAGGCGGGGGCGCGGGCGCTGCCGCCACCCGAGCGGAGCCGCTTCCGAGGGGCCCGCAGGAAGGTCGGGTTTCTGCTGAGCTGGAGCCGGGGGGCCACCGAGGAGCTGGCCCAGCTCGCCCGGGAGGCGTGGGGGGTTCACGCCGAGGTGGCCACGGAGGAGGCGGCGGTGGCCGAAATCAGGGAGGGGCTGGAAAAGGTCTGGGGAGGCCCCCGGCCACCCCCCAGGGAGGGGCAGGCGGATCGGGCACCCTGGGTGGTGACGGAGAGGATCGAGGAGGTTTTCGGGGGTCCTCGGCCGCCCCCGGCTGACAAGGGGGTGCAGGGTCGGCAGCTGATCGAGGAGCTGGACTGAGATGGGCAGATGCCAAGGAAACACTCCGGGAGAGAATCCACTGGTTAAGGGATGGGCCTGATGAACATCCAGAGAACCAGGTCCAGGAAAGCTGCTCGTTAAAGGACAGGACTAATGAACTTCCAGAGAACCAGGTCCGGGAAAGCTGCTCATTAAAGGACAGGACTAATGAACGTCCAGCAAAGCCCTGCCAGCAGTGACTCTCATTAAGCGATGGGACTGAGTGATCCTGGCTCATTAAGGAGTGGGACTAACCAAGGTCCCAAAACCAGAAATGACGCTCTAAGGAACAGGACTCATCAAGGGAGGGGTTAATGAGAGCCCGGGAAGCGGATTCAGGAGAGAACCTGATCCGGACCAAGGAACAGGCCCAGAACCGCGCGTTAGGGGCCAGGACTAAAGGACATCCCACAAAGCAGTCCCAGGAGTGACACTCACCAAGGAGAGGGACTCAAGACTGATGAGGTTCCATTAGGAGAGATCCTGAATTAATTAAGGGTGTGAGCTGATGAAGGGCTGGTCCGAGTGGCCCGGGGAAAGCTGTGCCATAAGGGATGGGAGCAACCAGATCCCAAAGAAACAAGAGACCCTTCTTGTTAATGCCCTGGCCAAAGAACATCCAGGAGTAAACTGACCCCAGACAAGCTCCGTGTGCTAATTAATGAGTGGGGGGCACGGGTTAATAAAAGTGTGTGCTGATGAATGCAGGCATTTATTAATGAAGGATTAGTGAAGAGGAAAACTAGTTAATGAAGAGGAGCACTAATGAACACGGGCATTAACAGAGCCCGAGAAGGAGACCCCAAGACTTTATTACAAGTGATCCACAGCGATGGGGCTGTGGAAGCCCCTGTGACCTTGGGGGGGTCCCAGGGGGATGCTGGGGGTCCCTCAGTCCATTGGAGAGGTCCCGGCAGTGTCAGTAAATGGGGGGTGGGAGCTGGGGGGGGGTCCCGAAGGTGCCTCAGTAGATGGGGGGGCCAGAGGGTTCCATAGGCAATGTGGGGAGTCCCAAGGGGTCCCTTGGTAGGTCGCAGGGGGCTCTCAGAGGAGTCCTCAGTAGACGAGGGGCAGCAGGCGGTGGGGGACGCGCTGGCACAGGCCCCCCCAGGCCCCCCCAAAGCGGCGCCGCTGCCGTCGCTCCCCCACCACCGCTCGGAGCTCGCGGAGCGCGGCCCCCGCCAGGAGCAGCAGCAGGGCCGGGGACAGGCCTGGGGGGGGACACGGGGCTCAGGGGGCCGGGGACAGGCCTGGGGGGCTCCTGGGTGCGGAGCAGGTTGGGGGGGGGCAGTTGGGAGGGTCTGGGTGTTGGGGAAGGGGGAGGGGAGGACCCGGGTGTGTGGGGGGAGGTGCCCAGTGGGGCAGGGACGGGGGCAGGACCCCGCGTGTTTGGGTCTTCAGGGGACACCCAGGTGTCTGCAAGGGCATTGGGGGGCTCAGGTGCCTGGGAGGGTTTTGGGGGGCTCAGGTGTCTGGGAGGGACACAGGGTTTTGGGGGGGACCCCAGCGAACGGAGGGGCGCCCCGGCGGGGTTTTGGGGGGTCTCACCACAGGGAAGGGTCCAGCCCAAGGCCATCAGCAGCTCCCCGAGGTCATCGGGGCGTCGCACGAGCCCCCACCAGCCCCCGGCCAGCAGCACCTGCCCCGTGGCCGTGGGGACCGTGGGGAGACCTGGGGAGGGGGGGGGGGGGGGGGGGGGGGGGGGGGGGAAACAGGAGTTTGAGGGGTCGCAAATTTGGGGATCCTCGGTCGTTTGGGTGTCCCGGGCCTTTGGGGGTCTCACCGGCCACGCGGGGGTCGTGGGGGTCGCGGCTGAAGAGGCTCCTCTGGGTGGTGGCACCGTGGAAGATCCACAAGCCCAGGGCTGGGGGAGAAGGGGAGGGGGATGTCAGGGCCCCCCCCGAACTGCCCCGAGACCCCCCTCGAGCTCCTCAGTGACACCCCCAAATCCCCCCAGTTCCCCCTGAACCCGCCCCACCCCCATTCCCCCCAATTAATCCTCAAACAGTCCCATTAACCCCAAATCCCCCCGCT